TTGAGGCAGGCTTGTTGAGCATCTGCTCTGCACAAGTGGTGCTATGCAAAGATGCAGGCCTGGTGTGGCCAGAGTTTCTAACTCTTCAAGAGGAATGGAAAATCCAGTTTCATGTGGAACTTTTAGACTTATAGACATTGAGCAATCCAATTGAAAATTTGCATGGGCTCCAGTTTGCAATACTGAGAATGTAAGTACATTTAAGACAACGGGCACCTGATGGGTCATGGTGGATGTCATGTCAGTGGTGGTGTAATGTCCAGAGCTATCAGGAAAGGAAATGTGCAAGGCTGACGCTCAGGGATGGTGCTCATGGAGCAGCAGCAGTGTTTCCGGGTCAGAGAAGGAGGATGGTCAAGGTGATGAAAGGACGTGATATCATTTTGCCTCAGGAATTGTCCAAGGAACATAGAGAAAATGTTAGGCCTGGAGAAGTGACGATGATAGTAACAGGAATAATAATAGCAGCTAAAATGTGTAGGATCCATTGTGGGCACTGTGTTAAGTGTATATAAGAGGCTTAGTACCATGGAATTATTGCCTTGGGAATTATCCTATAACCAACCGTTACATACATTATGTCATTTAATCCTCACCACAACCCTCCTTGAGCTTCATTTTACACAGGAGGAAACTAAGACTTGGAGAGATTAAGCTACTTGCCCAAAGACTGAACAGAGAGCATGTGACTGAGACAGGTGGTAAACCAAGGCAATCTAATGTGCCACCCTGTCTCCCCAGTGACTGCGGTGAGGGACCTGATTCACATCGATTGCATAAGAGGTAGATTCTATTTTCTCTGAGAAGTTCCAGAGGATCAGACTAAAGAAGAGAAGTTAAAAGGTGGCAAATTTTGGGACCAGCAATTAGCGAAATGGCTATGTCACTGGACTCCCATATAGTCAACTGTGGTTTGCGTCCCTGACTCGGTGGCTTAAAACTCATGCTGGGTGCATGTGTGTGCATGCCCAAGATCCTGAGAGGAGAATGGAGGAGAAGGGATTGCGGCATGGCCATCCCCCCTGGGGGGTGATTTCTTGCTTTCTATCTCTGTCTCTCTGTCTTTCTGGTGAGTGCATGCACCCTATAGCAAAAAACTCTCCAAAAAAGAAAAAGGAGGCAAGTTTTACTTCAATTTACATCAAAGCCTTCCAGCGAGAGAACTGGCTGTGAAATGAGTTCCCCATCACTGGAAACACCTGAGCAAAGGTTGGACCATCTCTTACTTAGGATGCTATCAAGAGGACACATTAGGTGGAGAATTGCGCTGGGTCTCCTGAGTTATCTCAGAGATGCATTGAATCCCAGAGCAAGGGTGACCTCAGAAGCTCCCCAACCCAGCCCCTACCTCTAGCTCCAGGAGGAATGGAGTTGCCACTCTTTCTACAGATGAGTCAGCAGAGGCCAAAATAAAGCACTCGTATTGGAGCTTGTAAGACCCATCCCTCTGATCTCATTACTTCAGACTGAAACCCCTCCTACCACTCCTCATTCCCCACCCCCTCCAGCTGCAGATAATCTCAGTTACTTCGAACAGCAGGGTAGGGAGAAAGAGGACTTGACATATATTTTTTTTCCTCAGAAAATGTCTCATTCATTTGGGATGCAACATAGAAACCATGGCAAGATAGAGGCCTGTTGAATACAACAAATAACTTGTCCATTTCCCCTGGGGTTTCACAGCTAGATGTAGCAGAGAAGGGACAAGACTCAGGATTCCCCTATAGCTATCACAGGTTTTTAGGGAAGCTGGAGGCAAATAGGTGCTTTAGTTTATGCATTCAATCAGCCACTTCATCATTAAGGCAGGCGCATTGAGCATCTGCCCTGTGCAGACTCTGAGGCAGGTACTGGGGGTAGGGTGACAAACAAGGAACAGATATATTTATAGTCTCAGTCTCTTCCCCACGAAAAGGCCCACATCACAGAGGAAGATGGATTTATTGATCCATCTCTTTCTTTAACCAAGGTGGAGCTCCAGGCCAGGATGCAGTCACTGTCCGACAAGCATCCTTGGCTGGGGGTGTTGGTAAACCTAGGATTGTGTGAAATCTCAGCCCTTGTCTGGCCAAGGGGCATGGAGCTGCCAAGCACATTAGTCTCCCCAACATGATTGTGAACTATGTGCACAGTGTCCAGTGCAGCTAAGCCCTTCTGTGGGATCCACTGCTCAAAGGCAAACATAGCAGGAAGGGACTTATTTCCCTGTTGTACCACTGTCTTCTTGGCACTCACCACACAGCTTACCTGTCCCAGGAGAGCTGCAATGAGGGAGCTCTTTCCACTTCCAACATTCCCACATATTCCCAAGACCTTCCCCTGCCAGAGAAATAGAGATAGAATGTGTCACTCTCCCAGTTCTTACTGGGTCTTGGGCCAAGGGTGTCATTCTCAAACTATCCTAGTCAGGCCAGGCAAGAACCAAAGGTCACTGCTGACTCTATAGGGTGCAGCCATATCCTCTCATCCCATCCCCAATATACATGGCCTGGAAAGATGCAAGGATATAAGTCCTGATTAAGTGTTTTGTCTTGTGCAGCATAGCAGTGAGCCCAGAGGGTTTCTAGAAATCACATACAAGCGCTGATATGAAACATTCCTGTGCTGGTCTGGGAAACATAGACAGCTCTGGACATGAGAGTTGTCCTGAGCTCAAATTCCAAGAAAGCAAATCGAATGGAAAGTAAAAGTCTACACAATCCTGGGGGTCAAGGATTTCCTTTGAAAGATGGAGAGCTGGGTGCTTTTCAAGTCATTTTTTATTAATTTCTCCACATTAACAACTCAATCTGTAATTACTAAGCAATTACACTATTCCAACAAGTGGAGTTCATGGATAATTTTACAGTGGCAGATTTATTAACTCAACCAACAAATCAGTATTAGAGCCTCCTAGGTACCAGGCACTATTTTGAGCACCAGCAACAACACAATGCAGCAATGACACAACAGACAATAGTCTGGGTTCTGTCCCCATAGAGCTCATGTTTTACTCAGAGGAGATAAACAGGAAGCAAGATAAGTAAATAACATATGGAGTATGTTAGATGCATGCCATGGAGAAAAAAAGAGTAGGAAAAAGACAGGGCAAGGAGTGGGGAATAAGGAGCCCAAAGAAAGCTCTACTGAAAAGGTAGATGACTTAGCTTGAGTTATCCCACATACAGACCCTGAACCAAGGATTTAAGTGAATATAACTTATTCAGGAGGTGAAGGAAATGCTAGTAGAGAAGAAGGAAAGTATTATAGGGAAAAGAAGGTGGGCCATAAAAGGTAAAATATTGGGTCAGATCCCACAGGAGGCAAAGGAAGCTCAGTGCTGCAGAGACACTGGAAAAGTGGCCAAATGGCAGAAGGAGTTGGAGTATAAATACTCAACAGTCATTATATAGGGCCGTTCCCCAGGCTGTTAACATCTGAGCATTTTGGGGATGGTAAGGACAGTCCTTGGGTGCAGATTCAGATCTGGAAGTTGGACGATAATCAGAGAACACCTAAAGGTTCATCCCATGGACCATGGGATGCCATCCACTATAGATGATGATGTTTGTGTAAGACATGAAGGAAGTAAGGGAGAGAGTCATGGAATACCTGGGTGGAGCCACTGTAGGCAGGCACCACAGGTGGGAGCATGCCCGCTGTTGTGTTCAAGCAGAGACTGCAATATTGCAGTTAGAACACTTAAGAACATTTTTATCTAGACCTACTCCCTGCAATCCCTTAGAGCAAAGATACCCAACATGGGCCAAATATATGGCTCCTTTCTTACCCCAAGATAGACCAGAAAGGCCTATCACCTGCCTGCCATTCTGCAAATAAGGGTTGCCCTCTGTCATCAATAATTTCTTTTACAAGTCTTTCCTGAACACCAGGTTCCATGCTAGGTACAGGGGATAAAATAGTGGTCAATGTAGATGCAGTCCCTGCCCTTATGGAGCCCGTATTGTCATTGAAGCTGCACATAAATGAAGCTGATCCTTTTTTAATTCCACTAAAAGGACTTCAAGGAACTAGGGAATCATGGAGACTTTGTGACAAAGAGACCATCAGTATGGATATAACCTTACTAGGTACTTGGCTTTTCCTTGGGTCCTGTCTACTTCTAGATGCCAGGCCAGAGCCTTGACTAGTCATCCTTGTTGTTGGCAAAAAATTCATAAAGTTTACATCCTGAGAGCTTCTGATTATTCATTTGTTCACTCAGCAAACATTATTGGAAGCCACTGAGCCAGGTACTAGGCTTAGTACTAAGAACATAGCTATGAGCAATACACCCTGACCTCAGGAAAGATACCATTCATGGAATCATGGAGCTCTGTAAAACTTGCATACCTAAATGTCTTAGGACATTTAAGAGCGGCACTTAAGCTGGCCATAACTGTTATAGGAAAAAGACAACAACAATAGCTAACATCAGTTCAGAATCACTATGAGCTTAGCATTTTTATCTGGCATCTCTTTCAGTTCTCAAAATCTCTATATGAAATGGGTACTATTAAAAAACTTAAGGAACAGGTAAAAAAACAGAGACTCTAGAAGCTCGGGCAGTATACCCAAGGTCAAGCAGTTAGTGAGTGGCTGGGACTAAAACCGAAGTCCACCAGACTCTAGAGGTAGACACCCAATCCACACAATACTGCATTGCCCCCACTAAATCTTTTACTTTATTTTACAAAATGTTGACCATGTCCTCAATGTACACATCCAATGCACTGAAAAGAACATTAGGATTAAAGCAATTGGAGGGTTTTAGACTAGAGAGCTATTCACTGAGACCTCTCTGATAAACCCAGGAAAACAGGGTTGGAACAGTCAGGTACTGCTCTACACAGGCACTGGGAAAGGGATGAGAAGGCAGAGTGGGTGGCACTCAGCAGGATTTAACTACGACCCGAGTCAATTGCACTCAGTGGACTGACTTCATTTCCAAAGACTATGTGGCAAATAGCCTTGTTAGCTACAAGAGGTGCCATTCTCATGCTGGCTATCAAGCTTCACATTGCATAATAAATAAGAAGCTCTTCTTCAGCAAAAGAGTGAGTCAACAAGACGGGAGATTAAAATACTAGGCACAAGATTAATGCTGAGAAAAATCAACACTGCCACCCTGACCATGCTGCTGCCAAGTTCCTAGTCCAAGAGGATGATGCATGCAAGAGATGCAGTTGAAGGTCAAACATTTCCTAAATCCATAGCTTTATCTAAAAACTCTATCCCCCTACCTTAAGGGAAGGAAACATCCAACAGACACTGGTTGGCTTGGCTGACTTTGCCCTTGCAACCTCTTGTTGGGTTGCCATTGATATCATTTTGCTTTCACAAGAGAGCTTTTCATGTCTAGGAGCACAGAGGCTGGAGCTGGTTACCCTGGATATGAAGACCTCTTCTGCTATGTACTGGCTATGGGACCTTAGGCAAGATATCTAACCTCTAGCACTTTTAAGTTTCTCAATAAAAAGTGGGAGTACTTATAGTATCTACTTCATAAGGTTATTGGCGTGGTTGAATGAGTTAATTATGTACCTGGTAAATAGTAACTGCTTTTAATTGTCAGTTATTATTGTCTAATACTCTAATGTGAATTTAAGGACAAATCTTAAGAGACATATGAAAGCTAGTCCGTTTGAGCCTGGTCACTGAAAGTGGGTTGTCCATTCAGAGTTGCAACCAGCTCCAAAGGAGCCATTGAATATCAGTACTACTATAACCACCATCTTTCCTAAGGTTGGAGACAATGCTTCCAAAGCTATGACATGACAAAGAGGGAACTAGGGCATGTAGGTAGTTTTAAAGTTTGGGGGAAAAAAATAGAAACCCTAGTTAGAGGTATCCCACTACCACCTCCATCACAAACTGAATTATATTCTGTCTTGAGAGGCTGTGGTGAGCACTGCATACAGAAGCCATCTTGAGCTATCTGCCATCTTGGAAACCATTAGGCTTCACTTCCTCACTGAGAAAACCGTTTCTCAGAAATCATGTGACCAACCGTTCTCCCCGGAAGTGGTTGGGGAGAACGGGAGAGATCCACCCACATCAATGATTGGTTCATGCTATTCTATCTCATTTGCATTTCGGGCAACCAATTATATATATAACTGTATATAACTCACCATTTCTCCTCAATAAACGGAAGTAGACGGAAGAAGACTTGATCAGCACCTCGTATTGTGTGTGCGTGTGTTTGTCCCATCTCTCACTCCCTCCCCCAAGGAACCTGTTCAACTGTCCCACGGGCCGGGGCAAGAGGCCATAGCTATGCAACTCAAGGAAGATGGATAAAGTATACACCTTTGGAATATAAACCCACCTTTGTCAGTACAAAGCTTATATTATGCAGAACCGACGTGGGAATGCCACTTGGCTCCTCTGGGCCAACAAATCCCTGGGCTGATGGACTCCACTTGCTGTAGGTTTCTACTGGCATCCGTTTCTTGAAAAAATACCTTTTCTGGTTCTGCATTTTCCTTAGGTCATTTTTCTTACTGGCTTCTTCCTCCCATGTCAAGGTGGCTTTTGCTAAAAACAAGACAGTATCTGGGTCTTCTGGATGGGTGATGTAGGATGGAGGCCTTTTATATATGAGAATTTTCTAAGATTAAAGAGACAAAAGTAAGTGGGTAGATGCCATCTATTTCCATGAATCATCCCAGTAAATCTTCTAATGACCCAAAATCTCAATCTTGGCAATTCTACCTAGGACATTAAGAAAGCATTTCTGAAGTTATTCCCACAGGAGAAGCTGCAGCAGAAATAGTCTACGAGCTCATACTATCTGGGACAGATGCCTCTTTGATCACAAGACATATGTGGGTCACCCACATTGAGGAATTCTGACCCAAAGCTATATTTTCCTTTACCTACATTTTACCAGATAGTCAGCCTTTGCCAGTCTTTGGTTGATGGACTTCACTGGTTCACACTAATGCTTATGAAACCAAGGTAATGTTCTTAGTCTCTGCTATGTACTCTTCCTAGGCCCCTAATCAGCTCAACTCAACAAAACATTTGGCAAGTGTCCACCATGTGCCAGTTTCAGGGGTAAACAGCAGAAATGCAAATATAAATAAGGGACAGTTCTGTCCTTGAAGAGATAATAATCTGGGGGAGATGAGAACATGCACAAGTGAAATGTGACCAGAACAAAACACTGTAATTCCCAGAGAAGGGGCACTTAGTTTCCCAACCTGGAAGTCCATCTAGTTAGTACCTGAGCTGATTCTGTACTGGCAAAAATGAGAAAGTGGAAAGGACGAGATCATTCTAGCGGAGGGGACAGCATGGGCAAATGCAAGAAGTATGCAAAAGCATGGTTTGTTGAAGTGTGTGGCATGAAACAAGCAATTCAAGATTGCTGAGACACAGAGCTCCATATAGGAAGGTGGTAGGAAATGAGGAGTCAAAATTGAGGACCCACAGATGGATGGTTCAAGTTCAGTCCAGGAGGGGGCAAGGATTCAAGGATTGTAAGCAGTTGAGTGTCAGTGGTCAGATTAATGTTTTAAAGACTCTCTAGGAGATGAGTGCAATATAGATTTGAGGACAACGTTGTAAAAGGAGAATCAGTCCATAAAACACTGTGGTAGTTCAGATGAAAGATGATGGAGTCCCTGAACAAAGACAATGTCAATATGGATAAAGCAAAGGTTGAATATTCAAGAAATATTATCCTTTCTCTAATCTAAGAGCTTTATTTCTGATAGTATAACACATGCAATTAATGTGATGGTGTTGGTTCTTCAAAAAGTGATAGCACTGCATCTTGAAATCCAGTCTTACAATGGTACCTCTTAAAATTGAGGAAATACAGTAATGGGGAAGTGACTCAACATGACTCTTGATGGTTGGATATGGGTGGTAAGTGAAAACATGTTTGCAGGGACCAAGGATGCTTAATATGACTTCCAGATTTCTGCCTTGAGTGAAGAAGATCATTCAACCAATTCATAGATGTCTCAATGTGCTGTTTTCTTGAATAGAATGCCCCTAGTTTTCTTTCCATGCCTTATTTTTGAAACCACTGTATTTGTTCTTCTTGCATGTCACTTATATCCTTACTATGTACAGAAATTATTAGGGCACCTGGAGGCTCTTGAAAGTAAAGACTCTGAAGTAAAGACTCTTATATTTACACTTCTCAGGTGTCTTGTGTATAAGAGGCATACAGTAAAGTTTTTATGAATGCATAAATGAATGTACAGGTGACAAAGTGAGTGAATAAATATGGCTCCTCATTATCTATCACTTCTATCACCATACTCATCACAGGACAAACTAGGTAAAGGGGGAAGGTTCAGTGCAAACCCACTCCTACTCCTGGAACAATATAAGATTATGACTTGGATAAAATGTAGAGTCAAGAACATCATCTCCATAAGCAGAGACTCTGTCTTATTTTTCCTACAAGAGCAGACCACCTACCAAACTCTGCCTGCTCTCTCCTCCATATACATTTATCTATCTAACTCTGAGCGGGTGCCAGTCTCCTAATGTCAACCTGAAAAGTGACTCAGTTCTTCATTGGGTTGGTACAATATCCCCATAGCTAACCATTTCCCCACCCAGAAACAAAATCTTTCTTCCCTACTCACCCAGTGTTAGTTATACCTTCATTCTCTTTAGAGAGACATTGGCTTCGGCCACTGCTTTGACTGAGAAAGGCAAGATTGCAATTGAAAACTTCATTACATTAAACATGGCAATCACACTGAATGCCTGAAGAACAAAAGAAAGGGATGAGCATTTAGGATTGGAGGTTGCTTTAGCTCTGAACCATTTTACTCACAGTTTAGACTTACTGAGATGAGAAATAGTGGCACAGCTGGGATGTACAGAGAAATTTTTTTTTCATTTTATGGCTCAGAAACCATGGGTTGGAAAATTAGGGACAGCAGCATCTTTATCTGTTTTGCTTTTTGACTTTCACTGAGATGGTGGGAAATTTATCCCTTTGTCTCTGTTGATCCAGAAGGGAAAAGTTTGAGGCAGGTGTCTAACTGAATACATTTGGAAATCTCTGTCCACCCTGTATTCTTATTTGAACCAAGACTATTTGCTCACAACCCTATACATATTTTCCCAAATCATCTCCTTCTCTCAGTTCTTCAGGGTAATCTGATCCTTTGAAGCCACAGTATCCTTCCACACACCACAACCCTGAGGATGAAGGCAGAAGCTCCCTGGAAGGACCTGCTTGCCCTTGTTGGCTATTGGAGTGTGACCACCAACTCTCCTGTTCACAGAACCTGGCCTCTATGCCCTGCCTCCCCAATACTAAGGACATACTAGAGAGCCTAAGTTCAACTATGATTTCTCCTCCCTCCACCAAAAAAAAAAAGAAATGCCTCCCTTTGTTTCTTCACAGGGGCCTTCCTCACTGGGCCCTGACTAGTGGAAATTCAGTACTATATAACCTCAGTGAAGACAGGCTTTTCTCACTTCCGTTAGTGCCTAGTGGTGCAGGATCTCATTCCTCAGATTACATCTTCTCATCTGTCCAACGTGTAATTAGCAGCCTCTTCCTAGCTACCCATTTAATAAGTTAATAGCACAGGCTTCTTTCAATGAATCTTGAGTGATCCTGCCTGCTGTAGAATGGGTCCTGCAGACAGGGTCCCAGGCTTCAACTAATCCTACCTTCTTCATTAAGATGATGATGAAAGATGCTCCTATCACATTTGGTCCTAAATACACCCCCAGTGGAGAATCCACTTTCCAGGTCTCAAAGCACCCACCTTGGCCTTGGTTAATGGAGCACCAGGGCTAGCTGATATGACCAAGACCTTGAGGCTGACCCTCCTACTGATGTGACCCTTCCAGAGGAAGTGACTCTGAAATTCTGACTCCAAAGAAATAAGAGCTTTACATTCAGTGAATTTAGGTTTGCTCTAGATTTCTTCTAAACCATTAAGTTAGAAAATATTAAAGGCATGCACTCAATCTCATTTCAGAATGATTTGCTTGATTTGTTGCTGGAGAAAACGTGGGGGGGGGTGGTGGAGGGTTGGTGTCATATTACAGAAAGCAGTCCCAATAAGTAGGCATAGTTTTGTTCAGGTTTCTGTACAACATTGCAATTGGTGCTGGCTCTGAGTTCATGGCAGGGTTCAAGGCCCTAGAGAATGTGAGAGTAAACTATGCATGAACTAATACCTGCTGAAGAGCCTGAGAAAACAAAAGCACCTCACCAAGAAATGGGGAGAAGTAATGAGATTAATGGCCTCATGAAGGATAGTCCAGCAAAAGCATACTGGCTCTGCAAATATCACACCCTTCTCTCCTCTTGGGATTCTTGATTTTGAGTACAATACTTCCTCTATGATCTTACCTGTATTTCTCTCTCCCTCTCTCTCTTTCACTGTCTTGTGTTTATTGACTTTCTTCTAACTACTTGCCCTGCAGACACTTCATTTAATATCTTAGCTGTTTTTTGTTTTTTTGTTTTTTGTTTTTGTTTTTGTTTTTCTCTCTATTTAAGCCAGGACCATTCTGAGCTCGATGTTTCTTTACCTTGGACTACTTAGATCCCCTTAACCTCTCACATTCAGCCCAATTCTCCTTCTGAGGCTTTCAACTTTCATTTGCCTGGTCTGGATGAGAATCAGGTTCATAAGAACAACAAACATTTGTACAGCACTTAAGAGCTGGGGATGGTTCCAAGTGCTTTACATAAAATAACTCAATTGGTCTTCACAACTGCACTGAAAGGAACGATTGGTTTGTTGGAAAAGTCATGACATATTTTTCTATGCGAAAATGTGTCATGACTTTTCTGACAACCTAATATCATCTCATTTACAAATAACACATCCAAAGCAAGAGTAGTTTAATGATTTGTCATAAGTCACAGCTAGTAAGTCAGAATTTACATAAGGCAGATCTGGTTCCTAAACTCAGACTCTAACTCCAGTACTACTGCCTTTCCTAATACCTACAACTCTTCCCATCAAGAGAATGTTTTCAAATTCTCCTTCTTATAGTATATATAAATAAAATAGTCAAATGCTCATTTGAGTTTTTGCCCCAAATACAATATTGTGTTTCAGTGGTAACTAGTACTACCCCTGCCTTGCCATAGACCAGGTGAAAATCACTGCTGGGCACCTTGTCAGCCCAAGCACTTGCTTCCAAAAATCAGGGTTGGATGCTGACATATTACAGCTTACTATCGTTGGGTGGTATGATGCCTGGGTAGAGGAGAGGAGGAAAGGGCTTCCCACCTGGGACTTCCCGGGGTAGAGGAGCAAAAGAGACCAAATCTAGAGATGGTTCATACCACAGGGGCAGTGAGCTTGCGTCTCAGGAGGATGTGACAGGTGAATGTCAGTACGATAGCAATGGTGGACACAATGGGGGCCAGGGCTGAGTTTCCACTTTGGATAAATCCAGCTTTTTCCAGTAATTTCCTCTCCCTCCTTCGTACATCTGTGAAATAGAAAACAGTCCACGGTGGTCTTATTTTGCATGTCAAGCACCAGCATTGAGAAATGATCACCCCTGCCTGATTTCTTCCTGTCATGAAGTTTAAATGAGAAGTACAGAAAGCCACGAGCATAAATCCAGCATGTACCAGGAGCTCAGAATAGGACAGCTGCCATTACTGTATGGTTTCCAAGACCTCTCCCACTCTTAGTGATGGTGATCTCTGGCATAAGCTCAGATGCCTACAGAGGCCAGGAAAGTACTCTGAATGAAGAGAGTGGGGGAAGTGTAAGGTCAGAGGGGTAGTGGGATGTAGAAGGATGGAGAACAGCACCTCAACCAAAAGGGCAGCCACTTCTCAGTGCAAGGGAGCCCAAGCTTACCAGACTTTCAACCTTTCAAAAGTCTGAAATCTAGATTTTTGTGAGACATCTTCCTGCTTCAAAATGTTGGGAACTAATGGGGAAAGTGTTTAAATACTGTAAGGGACAAATAAAAGGCATATGCTGGCCTGAAGACTGCCAGATGAGGGTCTCGGTCCAATGTCCTAAGAACAGCCAAAGGACTCAAGAGCATTATTCCTCTTTCCTAAATCCAAAAGATGTCAACTCTGCACTGCTTACAAATTAAAGTCTAGTCTCCTTCCCTGGTGTTTATAGTCTTCAACCCCAATTCCATCCTTGTCTGCAGAAACCCTTTCATATCAGCAACAGGACAGCCATCGCTGTTTTTACTGGGAGTTCACTCTGTGCTCATGCTCTACTGAGCACATCACAGGCACTATCTCATTAGACTGTCTCACTACTGTGTGAGAGGGAGTGGCTATTATTAGTATATCCTTTTTGATATCACAATTACTGTTTTACACATAATTGTTGTACAATTTCATAGAGTACGGAATGACTTTTCTTTCTTTCTCTCTCTTTCCTTCTTTCCTTTTCTTTTTTAAATCTTGCCAAAGAGTGTGAATACTTGCCAGAGAAAAACAGAAAAAGAAAGAGAAAGCACAGCACATTAAGGATGGCCAAATCAAACACCTGGCATGTTTCTCAAGCCACCAGATCTGGAACTTGAACCATACATCAGTTATGTGAGATCTAGCTCACAAAGTCATAGGCCATGGACTGACCCTAGCATAGTTTTTCAAAATATGTGTGTGTAATAATCAAATCAAGACAATAAATATATCAACCATCTCAAACATTTGTCATTACCATGTTGTTCACTCTTCTGATTTGATACATACATTGAATTGTCTCCAACTATCTGTACTTTCTTGATATTCTAGAGTTCACTCACCTGATCTACCAGCATTCTTATATTTGTTAACTGAGACCCCCATGTCCCCCATTCCTCTTCCTTTTCCAGCCTCTGTATATTATACTTTAATCTACCAGCACTCTTATATTTGTTAACCGAGACCCCCATGTCCCCCATTCCCCTTCCTTTTCCAGCCTCTGTATATTATACTTTCCTGAAGGAGAGAAGACTGTCTTAGCTGGTTAAATAACTTGTCTTTTAAGTGAGTGAGACAGAAAAGGAGCCCAGTTCTACTGTAATCCTGTTGTAATTCACAAGTCCTGCACCAAAAACACTCAGCCACCTCTTTATTCCAACAACTTTACATTAGTATCTCCACCTCCAGGCCTTTTCTCCTAACTAGGGAGTTTTCACAACTATGTGTTCAAATCCTTTCCATCCTTAAAGTCTAGCCGAGATTCACCTTTCCTGTTCTCTCCAACCCAGTGTGCTCCCCCGTGGAGATTTTGTGTCTGTTTTAGCTCTTTTTACATTTTATCCTGTAGAATTCATGTGTTCACTGACTCACATTTTAATCTGATGTCTACTATATGCCAGGCACTATATTTAGTATTAGAGACTATAGGTATATACAGGGATTCAGTCCTCTTCCAGCTAGGGAGACAATCAATGAAGAAATAAACAGACAATTAAATAAGATAATATAAATTGTGTTGGGTGCTACAAATGAAGTTAATAGGGTGAAGTGATTGAGAGGCACTGGTAGTAGTTAATGGTGGTTGGGACTATGGTCCAGAAGGCCTCTTTGAGTCAATGACATTGAGAGGAACTCAAAAGTTAAAACAAATTCCATCATGAACACCTAGAAAAAGAGCATTTCAGGCAGAGAAAACAGCATGTGCAAAGATCCTAAGGCATGAATGAGTGTGATATATTGTTCTAGAAATGGAAGGTTCCCATGACTGGAACACAATTATCAAAGATTAGGATAAAACGTGATGAGGTCAGAGAGGTCACCAGGGATTATATCATGTTGGACCTAATAGACCACAAGGAGGGATTTGTATTTTACTCAGAAGACCTACATTTGATTAATTTAAGTGATATAAGAACCCACTAAAGATTTTCTAGCAAGTGAGGGGCAGGATTGAATAGACATTTTTGAAAGGTCACTCTGGCTGCAGGTTGCATAATGGATTGCAGAGGTGAGGAGGGATGGGGCAGTGTCTAGCTGTTCTTACCATAGCCCAGTAAGAAAAGGATTTAGACTGGGAAGGTAATAGAACAAAGAGAAGCAGATGGATTCCAGATATATTCTGGAGGTAGAGCCAACAAATTATGGCTATTTTTGAGCTTAGTTATCTCATCCTTCCTTAATCTTAAAAGCAAAGACCCATGCCTGAACATTTGTGTGACTCCTGTGGCCTTGCACATAGTAGGAACTTAATGTACATATTAACTGAATTAAATCACTTGAGCAAAATTGAGTTGGGTAAAATTGAATTAAGTCAAGTAGAATCAAGTTTAATCAAATCTAAATTGTAGTGAAGTGAATTCAGTGTTGAGAAATTGTTTCTGGGTCCTCAAAGAGGGTCCCACAGGGCTTCCAGTACTCAACCTGGAGTATTTTCTTTGGCAAGCTCAGAAGCAGGTTTTCTAAAGCCACTCCCTAAAGTGCAGACACACAGCTTCAGCCCCAATTACATGCTGGTGCAAAAGTGTAATTGTAGACCCAGAGAGTCAATTGTAACAGTGGTTCAGATCATTAACCGGCCAACCACCTGAGTCTATGTCAGTAATTATGTAAATGTCCCTGCAATTATATTTGTGTTTATATTTTATTGAAATCATTTTACATCATCAAAAGAAAAAAAATACCAACAAGTACACATGCATCCTCATATCTGCCCAAGAAACATTGAGTCAATGGCCCACCAAACACAGTAAGGGGCTGCAGGCCAGGAGGAGATATACGTGTAAGAATGAAGGGGTGTGTGTGTGTGTGTGTGTGTGTGTGTGTGTGTTTATGGATATCTTTTAAGTCAAGAAAACAGCTTGAGATAGCTCTTTTTATGCTCACAGTGTTTCAGTGGATTATTTTTGTAAGAGGTAGCTAGCTGGTCAGTTACCATATGTTTCTCACCCCAGGGTACTCCAGAACAGATGTCTGGCCCTATTATAAAATCTCCCCAGTTCTGTGAAAATCCTTTGACTTGTAGAGCAGCTCAGGGGGTTCCCTCAATTGTCTTCTGGAACTCCTGGCCCTGGGAACCCTAAAAACTCCTTAGGAGAGAGGATGTTCTATGGACTAAGTGTTCTCACAGCCACTGCTCAATCTACCTCGAATGGTGTTCATAAAAGATTTCTCCCAGGCGTACATTTTAATCAGCTTGATGCAGGTCAGAAACTCATTCATTGTCTGAACTCGCTTGTCTGTCATCGAAATCGCTGATCTTCGGAAAGCTGAATTGAGCTTAGCCATAAACATCTGAAATCAAGGTACAACACTGTGGTCGGTGAGAACTGCTGAGTTGCAGCTGGCTTAAAAATTCAGCAATAGGAATATAAATGCCAAGAAAAGTTCTAATGGAAGTTGACTTGAGAGTCTCAGCCGATTCTTTCCCTCCAGTGTGGCAGCTGATGAGGTCTGGGGGACACCGCGGGGAACCAGGAGGGTGAAATAATGAATTGCCAGGACGCGAGGGGAATGCTGTGGACTTTGACAAACTGAAGAGGCCTGTCTTCCTCTGAGCATTCAAATGCAAAATTTTTCATTTTACTTATTTTTTTAACTACATTGTGCCAGCCAAAGAAAGCACACCTGTGAGCACATAATGGGGCCCAGGCTTCAGATCCATTCTTGGAAAATGAGGCCTTCTGCTCTGTGCTGAGTGTGTCCCCACAAAATTCCTATGTTGACATTTTTGGTGGAATTGTGAAGGTATTAAGGGACTTAGTTTGATTATAGTACTGAAAGGTGGGGTCTTCAGGATGCATTAGGCATCAGGGTGGGGTTCCATGATTGAGTCCTGGTGGGTTTATGAGGAGATGGTATGGGACAGAGCAACACATGCTCTGCTCTGTCCAAGCTCCTACCCTCCAACAGTTTATCCAGAAGCAAGGAGACCACATGCAACCCCTAGAATGGAGACCTCCAACCTGGCTAAATGAACCTCTGTTTTAATAAATGACCCAGAGTCAAGTAATTCTGCCATTAGCAACAGGATGGCAAAGGACACCTATCCAATTCATGG